TCCCTGGCTTTGTGGTTCTTGAGAAGAAGATTTTTAAAAGATGCTATTAATTTTTCACTAATTCTTTATTATCTCCCCTTGAAAGAGGGCATGGCCCTTCATTTGAACAAACTTGAATCCCCTTTACCCAAGGATACTTTGTGGCAAGTTTGGTTGAAATTGGCCCAGTGGTTCTTGAGAAGAAGTCGAAAATGTGAAAAGTTTACAGACAGACGGACGGACAGACGGACAGACGGACTACAGACAAAATGTGATCAGAAAAGCTCACTTGAGCCCTCGGCTCAGGTGAGCTAATTAGGCTCTCCGTCTTGCCTCAGAGACCTTACTGTTATTCATCCGTATCTTATTAAATAGGCGCAGATTCATTTAATTTTAATTTAATTGCTGATACAATGTAAATAAAGAAAAAATAGTGATCATGATTTTGATTTTTATTGCAATTTGTCCATTTGTTTTCTCTAAAAGCGATGATGAATAAATTCTTGAAAATGTCATGGAATATACATTATACCTTACAATTACACATCATTTTTTTCCTTTAATTTTTAGCTCCAGTGGGCGTTTTGTTCCAAAAAATGATTTGGCTTCTGTGTAAAATGCAAGAGTAGTTCTGCAAATCAGGTTTTTGCAGAAGAACCTCGATTTCCAACCCTCCATTGGCATCGAGGATGGAAATAAAAATTCCACAGACATTACACATCTACAGGACACCACCATTCACTATCTATCATGAAGAGTTGTGGGAACCTTTTTTTTTTGTAGAAAAACGTCTTTTTCCGACTAAAACAACATACAATCAATCAATCTTTTTTCGACTCAAATTAGTCTCTGGGATAAAAATATAAATTCCAAAATCTTATTTCACGTCTACAGAACAAAACCAACAACATTCCAAAAAATGAATTGTCTTCTGCTTAGAATGTAAAGAATTTCTTGCACCAAGGTTTATGCAGAGAAACATCGTTGTTCAACCCCCCCGCCCCCCCCCCCCTCCACCCCCTTTGCTGAAAATAAAAATTTGGAAACATTGCACATCTACAGGATACTGCAAAGCAGATAGATTGACAACTGCTTAAAATATACATGTAAGAGGAGCACGAGGAAGAGGATAGTATGATGGACGGAAGGACGAAGATACATGTACCAACAATATACCAAAAATTTCTTTAAAAAGTGGGAGTATAGTTGAAAAAAAAAACGTACGAAGTTCTTAAAAATTATTCAAAACTTCTAAAATGTTTTACGTTTCACATGTATTTATCCTTTGGTCTATCATGGAAAACTCAATATTATTAACATGTTTCAGAGTTTTATAAATATTTTATATTCAAATTAAATTTTTATTCAGTGAACTTCAAACGACGATTTCAGATACTTGTATATTAATTCCTTCTCGTAGAACATTATATACGTGGATAGAAAACATCAGAAACACGTACTAATTACATGGCCGATATATAGATTACTATAGTAAACATAAATACTATATGTTTGTGCCCCCTCAATAAAAACGTCTGATGGTAGTTGACGACCTTCTTTTTTTGCTTGTCAGTGGTAGTGCCCCCTCGACTGTCAACTTAAAAATGTTTGGCTGCCCCCCCCCCCCCAACTAAAATTGCTTCCTACGGGCCTGAATTAAACCGAACACTGCTAATGTTCTTTTTACCTAATAATTTTCAAAATGGTTTACACATCAATATTTTTCTTTAAAAGGTCGCAAATAAAGATCATCAAACACTTCAACGTAATAGAAAGAATCATCTTGATCTATGCAGCTTCTTCATCTTGTATGCCTACATTTGAAGATGAAGAGCAATAACTTCAGGGTAATAAGGAAGTAGAGAGATTGCAAAGATTAAAATTAATGTTATGATCACTACTGTGAAGCAAATCGTTGATAAATTTGATAAAGACGTGTTTTTGTACAAGCAATTTGCGTTAATGAGCCTGCTTTTTAAAGCAATTTAAAACTAATCTATACTGGGCTGAGATGAAATTTCATACAATGATTGAAATTGATTTATGAAAGATGTGTTCCAAGAAAAAAATAAATTGAGTTTTCAACAGAAAACTATCGCGTAAACGTGTTTTTCTATTGCACTTTCATATCATCCATTGTTTATGAATATATATGAATATAATCAGAGAGAGAGAGAGAGAGAGAGATAGACAGACAGACAGATTGCAGTTTTTCGTCCCTTGCAAGATTAATTCACTCATAAGAGACGTTACCAGATACCAGCCATTGAGCAGTGAGGGTTTTTTAGCATGGCAACGAGTGTAGTGAAAGGGGGCCTCGTTTTCTAAAGTCTCATCCGAAAGACCCGCAATTTTCACTTCAAAATGCCGCTCACTTAGGTTTTTCGCCTCCGGGGCTTGAACCCACGGTCTTCCTATCACGGAGCAAGCACTCTACCAAATGAGCTACGTGACGGTGACGTTAGAGAGTTAGAGTTGTTGAATTTCTATTGATTTTTTTCTTGATTTTAGTCCTAAGTATATTCACGGTCAAACCGTCACTGAAGCTCAGTCGGTAGAGCGCTTGTGATGGGAAGGTCGTGAGTTCGAAACTCGGCCGCGATGAGACCTTAAAAACCACGGCAGGCGTTGGCAAGATCCCTCACTGCTCAATGGCCCTGAGTGCCAAGTAAAGGTCTAAATTTGAAGCCCTTCACCGTTATATGGTGACGTCTCTATATGAGTGAAAAATTCTCGAATGGGACGTTAAACAACATACAATCAATCAATCAATCATTACGGTCAAAATTCAGTATAGATTCAGCCACACTATTCGCTCGAAGACTTTCCTCTACAGATATTGTTGATCACTGAGTTAAATGTGGACATTTATTATCGGAGTTAAAGGAAAAGTCATTACCTATAGCCCAAACTAGGGATTTCACTATAGGATTGAGAACTTTTATAATGGTATGTTTATCCATTCACAGCTGAAGACTTACAAATCGGTAAGAGCAGGTGAAATTTCAAAGGTCTCCATTTCAGGTCCAGAAGAGCTACTTAACAGTTATGGGAATTTTTTGCTGTGAAAGTAGTAAAAAAATTGTTAAGAACACACGGTAAGTGTTTTGAGCTTTATCATATGGAGATATAACTGTGATCACTTTTCTGTGCGCAATGAATATTCACTTTTTTTCAATGGATGGGTCTGTGGCTCTCTGGTCGTCCATCCCAATTTTTTTTTCAGACCAGTGACCTACAGATCTGCAGCCAATCAAGGAACATTCAAATTCTGTGATCATACCTATCCATTCCCAAAACATCATGGATCAACCATCCGATCGATCAAACGAGATCTAAAAGCAATCACTAATTGTTTACCTATTGTCCACCAACTTACTCACTGGTTATTGTAAAAGTCTACATATTTATGAGGGACATTACTGAAACTGTACACCTATAACACAGTCGCAAACTCCATTCAGCTTCCGTTTCGTGCAATTTTGTTCAACAAAAGGTTTTAATTTTAGAAACTGCATAAAACGAAATTTTATTTTAAGCGGATTGTTTGGTATACTCTGTCCTAAGAGTATTAGACGGTATGTTGGGCAATTGTTTATTCAAAATCAATAGGGAATTGTCTAAACATTCTGAGCCTGGGTTCAGCAACCTTTTTGCCTTTCTACCGTACCTATCATATTTTCACGGACTTTAGTAGTCTTCAGTCGCAAGTGACTTGGCATTGGACTTTTTTCCCAAAGTTCTTGAAAGCGATTCAAAGCTTGGTGATTCTTTGAAAGATATCGAATTCGTTTTACCGCGTCACTTTAGACAAATATGCCTTTTTGCATCGCTTTAATTCCAAGTTTTATTGAGTCCTCTAGCGTTGTTGTGAAACTTAACTAATGATATTTCGAAACCTAAGTGGATTTCCTTTGCATCCATTATTAATTAAACAACTTGTTAAATATAATGACAAAATGTCCACTAACAAGACAAATTACATGTATATATATATCACTTACGGATGTTCATAAATTCCATTAATTTATGATAAGAAATTTATTTTAAATTTAAGTACAAATCTGTCTAAAGATAACAAGCATAATCCATTAATGGATGCAATTTTACCTACTTATTCTATATCATTCGTAGATTTGATATCATTAATGGAATCTAGATGGCTTTTTATTCTGCAAAGAATACAACTTATCGGTTACAATCTCATTACTAGTTATTGAAAATTTACTTTAATTTCCATTATGTGAAGACATTATTTACTATGATTTTTTCCCAATGTTTCTTTTTTATTACATAAAATATCCAAGTAACATCATTTACAATTAATAAATAGTAAAATGAATAATTAAAAAAATAATGCTATTATTATAAAATAGCCAAATTATAATTACGTCATGATTTTTTTTTAAACCCCCAACTCTCACAGCCCATTCCATCTTTCAAAGTGTCCAACCACTGATATAATGATTTCATTGATTATATAAACTATGCATATGTTCCAAGATGCGATTTAATCCGATTTCGTTCTAACAAGAATTTTTAGCAAGCATTGGATGAAAAACGTCTTAAAACATAATCGTCTTTTGGGCCGCACAGCTGCTAGTAACAAAATAAATCTTATTTTTGAGGTAAATTACATTGTATCAGTAATTTAACTCTAAAGACTTCCAGGGTTCTTTTCCCACCGAAGTAAATTAATTTACATTATTTTGGAACATTCGATATTTACGTTTACAATTTTCAGATCAATCAAAGGAATTTTGTGTCTTAATAAATGCTGTAAGGAAGCCAAGTCTTGCATCATGCATAGTTTTTTTCCCAGTGTGTAATATGGCTTGCTCAAGTTTCCACAATTAATTGAAATTCTTAGGAGTTTCCAAATTGATTGAGCTGGAAATTTCATTAACCTCGTTTTCTTTCTCGACGTGCAGAAAATAAGCTTCAGGCATTTCATGCCACAACCTATATTATCTATTCCAGTTCCTGAATGTAATTCGAAATTAAAAAAAAACCAAACTTACCTCAAATGAATTTAAAGTCCCAAAGTATATAGGCACAAACGCCAACCATATGATACAGGTGGTATACATGGCGAAACCAATGAATTTGGATTCATTGAAATTCTCAGGGATCTTTCTGGTCTTTATGGCATAAAGGGTACACACGATGATAAGAATTATATTATAAAGCAATGAGACTAGAAAAGAAATATCATTTGTTTTACATTTTAAAATCACTTCATTGCGTCTATTTTTAGGAGTGTAGAGTCTGGTTCCCGGCCTTTCTAAGACCAGCCAAACAATGCTGAATAGCACCTGAATTGAAATAAGTACCAGTGTAATCACAATTTGGGACTTTGGACTGATAAATGGAGGCCTTCGCGCAGACTTCCTTGCACTGTCAAATATACGTGAAATTCTGTTCGTCTTTGTGAGTAGTGAGGAATATATAACAGAGAAACCGAGACCAATTCCCGCTCTCTGTATGGCACATGTAATCGTCGACGGGCGAGCAATTAAAACGAAAGTAACTAAATAACATAAAACGCATCCGCTCAATAACATATAACTAAGTTCGCGTCCAGACGCCATAACAACCGGAGTGTCGTTGTGTTTAAGAAATGTAACGATAACTGTGAATGTCACAATCAAACCAATGCATGAAAGAAATACCGGAATCAGGGCGTAAACAGATACGATTTTTATGTGCTGTTCCGGAAGTCTATGACAGCCTCGTTTATCCGTATTTGGCCACATCGCTTCTCCACAATCTTCACAAGTAAATTCATCTTTTAGATACTGCCATTCTTGGCATTTAATGCAGGCCCAACAGCATGTGTCACCATCTTTACCAACAAATTTGATTTCGTTGAATTTACAAGGTCGGCTACATCTCGATGACGGTGCCTCCTTGGTTCGTCCCGCCCAGATGATTTTGTCCGTTTCTAGCGACAATCTATCTGTCCAGCTTCCTACGGTGGAATACTGGTAGGAATGAGATGTTTCATTCCACTGAAAATTCATGATGTTGTATCTTCCCATAGCATCACCCTTTTCGTCAAATCTGACAAGAGCACCATAACCATCTGAAAAAGGACATTACTATTCATATAAAATTTGCATTATTACAGCTTCTGGAATTATATATAATTTAATTAATTATACATAATTTAAGGTTCATTGAAACTCCGATAAGAGAGAACCATTAATGTGATAAATGTTCTGTTATTCTTTTATAAATGCCTCACGTTAAAATTTCTTTTTTTGTCCCATTTTACCCCGAAAACTATACTTAAATTGTTCGCATTTTACTTATAAGATTTGGAGATAACGAACAGTTATCAAGCTCATAAGTCCATTGAAAAAATATGATTTGGGAGCAAAGTAAACACGGGCTTATAAAAACATTAGAGATGGGATAAGATGCCATGGAGGAGCAAGCATCCTCTGTCAAGTGGCCACACCCGCGAAATGCTCCTTTTCATTATCGGGCAAACGGAAATATCCGTAGACAATTCAGTGTGAAAATAATGGCCTTACAATTAGTATGAAAAACGTCAGCCAGTATTCGACTTAATGATAGACTGTATTTGCTGACAAGGTATCGACCATTGATAGAAATTGCAGAATGTTGACTTCAAACAAAACTATTGATATCTTTGTTTCATCAAATTGTTTGTCAATAGCTTGTCTCGTTTTATAAATTGTTCGAACGTAAGCATGCTCTTGTGTATCAAATCAACTGGGAGACATGAAGTCCATATGCAGGTGATAAGGGTATATTGCTACATAAATAAGGAAATTTGACCATAGAAAAGTTGAAGTTATCACGTTTATTTTTAAATTAGTTTTTGGGTTACCATTGCTGTCTTTTTTACTAAAATAGCCAAATATGAAACAGATGTTTCAGACTCTGTGATATCTTTTATTTCAAGTATACTGGGATATACCGAGTCGACATATGAATGGAAGTAGCTATAGTTCATATGTCGTCGATATATCTAAATGTCGTGTTGAAGGCCGCCACAGCAAGTGTTTTTATCCTCTCAAGTAGAAGTTTTTGAATAAAATTAATTCTTTTTTATATGAATATAAAAATAGGTCTGCTATAAAGGGGCGCAATTAGTACCCAAGGGAATTCCGGCAGATTGTTGGAAGACTTGATCTCCAATACCTACATAGATATTGTCAATCATAAACTCAAGCATCTTTTTAATATCAACTTATGGGTACTTGTGTGTAGAATTAGAATGTTTTCTTTTAAAAAAAAATTTAGCAAATGACAAGGTTAGATAGTTTACATATTCCATTTTTATTGAAAAAGAAGCTGTCTATGATTTCAAAATTAAAGTCTGGACTTTAATTTATCGTGGGGAATGGTTGTATCAAGTGTTGAAAAGTCGTACGTTTTGATGTTATTGATTTTGATAAAATTTTGTGATTTCAAATTTTCTAAAGATTTCTTCGCGTTTTTAAGTGTCCACATCTGATTTACAGCACTTCTCGAATATATTGTTGTACAGTTTTCCTGAACCTTTTCCTTTACTGCTGTTAATGTGAAGAGTAAGAAAGACGCTTAGTAGAAAATTTACTTGAACTATGTATATTTGTTTGTAAAGATTTTTATGAAGTTTAGGAATTAAGTATAAGTTTGATTGTTGTGAATATTAAAAATATTTAAAATTGACATATGATTTTGAATAATTTCCTCCATAGAAAGAATACTATGCATATGGATATGGATTTAAGTTGAAGAACCAATTGTAGATTTAAATCCCGGCCTCTCTAAAATGCAATTAAAATAATTAGCCTTACAAACAAAGACAATGTTGTTACCTGCTTTGCCAGCTGGGACCAGTACGTATGTATACGTATCGATCGTTATATCTTTCTAATTCTATATATATATATATATATATATATATATATATATATATATATATATATATATATATATATATATATATATATATATATATATACCTCATTTTGGAAAATCAAAAACATTAGGGGGATTATGAACCTTGGTTTTCAACATTTTAATATGTCTTTTTCCAAAAGTAACTATTTATACAACCTCAATGTCAATAACTCTGGCATAATGAACATGAAGGGAATTTAATATTAGCTTATTACACTTATAATTTCCATATCACAGTGTTGGACAGGAAAAATCAATTTTTAGAAAATAACAGTCGTGGACAAATTGGCCAGAGGTGAGTGATAGAAATCTAAGTAAATTAAAGGCTATAGACATTTGGATCGGGCTTGAGAGCCAAGTTCCTCTGGGGATAGTAGGTGGAAGCCGCCTTGTTAATTATTGGAATCGATAACATACGTCGTAGAAGTCGGTTGCCTATCTTAAGGACCAAGATTACTTTTTCATTATATCACCAATGAACAATGAATGCAGACTACAAAGCACGAGAGATATTTCTTCCGTTCATAGACTGGTTGACTTTTTTTTCACTGTTTCCTGTATTGCAAATGTAATTTAAACATTGTTAATAATCACCTGTATTTGTATAAATTTTGTTCAAATTGTTGAGCTTAAACATTTTATCTAAAATATTTAAGAATTTTAAACGATCATGTAAATATTTAAAAATTGTGAATTCGATTGATCCACTTCTCTGTTTCTTTATGCTGCTGTCTAACATGTCCGTGACGTCATATATGATCTCTCAGTGCAGTGAGATCAAGTACACGTTGATTACCTGGTCAGTTTTAAAACATTAAAACAGATTACAGTCAATTCATCGTGATAATTTTTTTGGAGCAGGAACTACAATAATAATTTTTTACGTGTTTCGTAATAGATTATCTGAATTAATATTCCATTTCGCTGGTGTAAGTTTCCGTGTGACGTCACAGTTATTTTCCCGTACTCGGAAAATATAATCATGAAGCGTTTTTAACTTTTTACCGCGCTTATGTCTTGTTCAACTATGTCCTGTATGATAGTGAGGTAAGCTTCACCTTACGTTATTGATAATTACTACGAAAAAGGACCTCAGTTCAATAGTAAATTTTAAAATATTTATTGACAGAATTTTTTCCCAAGTGCGTTTTTGTCGTTGAAGCCGTCTTGAAAAGTGCGTAATTTATCCAGTCCATATACATTGTGAAATATGAAAAAAATGCCGTAAGAATTCTAAACACTATTTATAATCTGAATAATTGAAGAGCTGCATGTCTTTAAACATATTTTTGTTTGTGTTTAAAAATTCTCATTATAGACTCAATAATGGACCCGTAAACACGAAGAACCAAAACTGAATACAGACACTGCATGGAGAGATATTTGTATGGCGATATCTCTTAAACAAGTCAAGAAAAGTGATGAAAGAATTGCTTTAAGATAAGTAGGACATACTAAATTAAAAATATACAAAATATGAAAAAAAGTTCTTTGACTAGATTTTTTTCAGCTCAATGTCCTGTTCCTCCTTAATCTGATATGTCTTATTAATTTGAGAGATTTGGCACACATGATCACAAATCAGGCATATAAAACGATTGTTGTTAAATCTAAAAGAATTGGTACAATGATATATGGAGATAACGAACAGTAATCGAGTTCAGAAGTCCATTAAAACAATACAAATCGGGAGCAGAGCATACACAGACCTCTTAAAAACATCAGAGGTGGAATCAGGTGCCATGGAGAAGTAAGCATCCCTGCGAGATACTTTTGCGAAGTTAACGGGCAAATCGTCATATTCAAAGTTTTTCACAAATAAGCAGAGAACTGTCCGGCTTTTGTTTATGTGCCTCTAGTAAAACGTCAACTTTTTTCAACCGTTGTCGGACATGACCCATGTGACACTCGTTAATCTGAAGAAGGATAATGAAGGAACTCGGTAATAAGACATATATGGTAAAATTATATAGAAGAATGCGTCTTTTGAAGAATATTATTAGATATCTTCTTTTACAGTTTTTTTTCTCTCCATTTTACAATACTTTTTTCATTTACACAAATAAGCTGTTTATGGAGGTGAATTAGTTATATAAGCAAAACAAAATAAACAAACGCAGAAACAAAAATAAGGTAATGGTACAGACATCATTATATATAAGAAGGCACCTACAGCCTGTCCGTCCTAAGAAACAGTTCATATGCATGTATATTACACGACTGTTCTTAACTGTTTGAACCGGAAGCGGAAGTACTAAACAATAGTACTTATACTGTGTGACCTTTAGTTGACCACTCTCTGAAGTTAATTATTTTAGCTCCTTGTAAGATCACTATCTTTGTTATGAAAACTTCAGGAGTGTCATATAGAAAAATAGATTTCTTTATGTAAAAGGCTATACATGGATAGATTAGAGACAAATTTTATTTTTTAAGGAAGAAGTAACCATTCCGGGACATACATGTATCTTGAAGTAAGTGGTAAAAGAAAGTGCAAATAAATATGAAACTGTATATTATGATTAAATTAATAACATTTTTTGCCCTTATATGTATGCATTTTTGGAAAAAAGAATTCCTATTTTTGTGTGTTAGTAGCTGTCCAACTTCTAACATGCGTACATGTATGTACTGAATAGACAGACGTGTTATTCCTTAATGGTCAAGAAAAAGTTTCGGGTACTAGAGGACCTATGAAGCAGAAAATTACCTCGGAGAAGCTTTTTTGTTCTTTCTTCTGATAAGAAATCAAAAACTACCTTTTCACACACATACGAAAAAAAAACAAGTTACTGAAAATTAATATTCTTTAAGAAGAAATGGCAAATCATCTAACCATATTGACCAGAAGTGCAGTATACTAACCAAGATCAATTTCCCCAAAAATTTATTCCTATTGATCAAAGTACACGTATAATGACCTTACATTCTTGCTATTGGTTTGAATTTAAAAAAAAACAAGGGGCAAAATGCAGAAAAAGTTTTGTTCTTAAATTTTAAGTACTTAAGCTTCAATTTTAGATATCAAAATGGCATGATAGAAATCGATGTCTATTTGACTGTATAAACAAAACAAAGCAGCAAAAAAAAAAGTCAAATACTTCTATCAAAGAGTTTTTAGTCAGTTGGTCGGCAAACAAACATTTTTTTAAAGATGCGCGGCCTTAGGAGAACTTTAAAATTTTTGATATCTCTATAAAAGTTAATACTCTGGCCAATTCCAAAGCACATCATTGCAAAGCATCGTAAATTCGATGTCTGTGGAATCACTTTTTCCTCAAATTGGTAGTAATTGAGTTTTTCGTCTTAAAACACATGGGAATTTAGGTCCTGAAAATTGAAACCTCGAAACTATTACCCAATTCCAATATCAGTGGCTCATAATCAGGTAAACTTTTTTTAATGTGTTACGTAATAGTGGAATAATTTATTGTAGGGACCCTTGATCAGAGTTTGTTGATATAAATGTTTTTCGATTAAAACTATAGGACGTTAATTTCTAATTCTAGCGTCATCATCTTAATTAAATGATGTGAAAAAATTCATTGTCCGTGTACGGGAGACTAGGAGGCCAGTTAAACGTTTGACAAATAGAATTGTGCATGCGCTCACGTGTTAGATAGGCCACATGAGGGACTCCGTAATGAAAAATAATTTCTAATCTCTCACTTAGCCCTGAGGAAATATTAAATGAAAAAATGTGTCGAACGAAAAGAAATTCTCAATTTTTTTCTTCCCCTTTCAGCACGATGTAATGTGCTTTTCCTTCTAGCATCAAAAGCTATATAAGAAAAAATCGCGCATCCAACTACTTTGACAGGAAATTTCATTATCATCTAATCGACAGAACAGAAAACTCGTCTATGTCAAATAGAAAGCCATTTTAGAAATTAACAGATTTTCTATCATTTTGTGAAGCCGAGCGCACTACTCTGATTCTGTAGATTATAACGCTATTGAATCTCGACGGAGAAATAATATTTTATCTTGAAGAGACGCATGCTTCGGATGACACACAGGGCTATCAGCAAAGTTCGAATGAAGTCTGTCGTGATGTCGCCTTAGTGACAATGAACTTCCGTATCGTAATGAACTGTATTATGGGAAAATAAAGCTTATCTTAACGTATTCTAGTGCTTCTTATGTTACTCACCGTCAAAAGTGGTATTAAGAATATAATCTCTCAAAATCTTTCCATTGATTTGACGCATTTCATCACACAAATCTTCCGTTTTGCAGGACGCTTTCAGCATTGCGTCAATGGCTCTAGCAATAGCGTGCACCGCGTCATGAATAAACTGCACTTTTGTTTCTTGTTTAAATGTTGCAGGTAACAGTCTCTCGCTACCATTACACTTTGGTCTATCAAACTGCTCTTTATTTTTATCTGAAAAAGAGCAATTGTGTACAGTTTCCCAGAATTCTGGAAACCAAGGGTTCCTTTTGTTGTTGGCAGGGGTCAAAGACATAAAATATTTATCAAAAGAAGGAATTAATGTAGATTGTAACTCAATAGTCAATGCCCCTTCCGCGACTTCTGCATTTTGCTGGACAGGCTTTTCTTGCGTCCCCCATGCGTCACTAGCTATCCAAATAAACCTCGAGGCCACACCTTTTCTAGTCGCCGCATTCAGTAAGTTCGTTGCGTCCTCGATCCGCAAAAATAACACCACAATTCTAGCGCTTTCTTTTGCTTTTAATTTCACAATGGCGTCATCAAACGTTGATGGATTTGAGTTGGACAATATTTTTATAGATTCTGCAATGCAAACATTTCGTGCCTTTGCCTTTTCTTTGAATTCCTCAATACCAGACTGGCCATAGTCTCCTTCTGACGCCACTGTGGACACATAAGTCCAGTTGAAATATTCAACAATGTCCACAATAGCTTTAGCTTGAAAATTGTCGGGTGGGACTGTTCGTGAAAAATAGTCATACCTAGCTTTATCACTCAAATCCGCGCTTGTAGAGGCATAGCTTATTTGCGGAAGCTTAAAAAGCCGCAGAAGATTTGCTACTTGAATCGAAACGCTACTGTACGACCCCCCTATAACTCCAGCCACATTTTCGTATGTCACATTTGCCCTCGCTTTAGAGCCATCATCACAGGAAAAGTCGGACGAATCTATAGAGGTAAATGATCCACGAATGAATTCTAAAGATCGTTCTAATGCAAATGTTCCCCGAGCGCATGTGTCGTAGATTTTGGCGCCTAATTTGATCTTTGGGAGTATTTTAGGATTTTTGTTTATACTGTCTATTGTGTGTAACATGGCCTCTGCTCTCTGAACTCCTCGGTCTAGATTGATTTCACCACATGCTCTCCGATCTGCGGAATTCTTCTGGTGTATAGGGAACAGTCCACCAATAATTATGTCCCCTGGAATATAAGCCGATAATGCCTGATTCTCTGCACGAACACGCAACAAAAGCACATAAAATATCACGAATATCTTTTCCACCACAAATGTCCACAAAGAGAAATTCAACCCCATCATTTTTCAGAAGTAAATTCTACCTCAGTATCCATTTTTCCGGGTAAGTAAAGATATTACTTATATCACTAATGCCCACCATCTCCCAGGACTGTTGGCGAGCGAGTAAATCAATTCCTGCAGTAGTGCAGCTTTTCTCTATTGGTAATCCTTTTACTCATTAGCCGAGTCTGCTTCGGGTTATTTTGGCCCGCTTCATAATGTAGAGGACCTATAAATTAAAATAAGAAGCCGATGTATATAAGAAGCCGTGTAAGATAGGAAACGCTCTCCTAATACGAAGGAAGAAAACGTATATAATTACACTAATTACTATGGAGCCTCCATAGAACTGGAGACCTGCCTAGCGAATCGTTCCGTGATATTTTATGAAACTGATCCATAGGGGCTGTTCTGAAAGTATCACCGACAACGATCAGTAAATATAGAAATTGTCTCCCAATCGCTTCGATTTGCTTAATAAATTTCATATAATAACATCTATTTGTTTACTGTACCCACACGCACATATTCGTATTTCACTACTCATCTTGGATTAGAAAAGGAAAAATGTTTTTTTTTTAAAATCAGACATCGATAAATTGAGTAAAATTAGATACCGTTTCTAAAGCTTGGTAACTCTCCAGTGCATATCAATACCTGATAATCTATCTTTTATGACTACAATCGTGTTACAAGAATTCGTTACACTAATTTTTAAAATGAAATATGGACAGATTTACCATTTTTAGCTTCAATATATTGTCTGTTTGTCCCCTATACACTGAAAACAATATAGACATTTACACTATTTAGAAAACGAAATGGAATCGATTGATGATATCAAGTGCAGAATTCTTTCCCTAAAGATAAACATAAAACGTTAGCTGTTAGAACTAATTGATATTGTATATGCTTGTCATGCATTTAATACATTTCAATAATATCAACAGCCATCAAAATCAACAATAAAATGAAATTGAATTAGGAAGTAAATAGAACAAATATAAGAGTATCAATCTACATGTATAAACGAGAAAATTCATGTATAGAGTGTGCATACACCTTTACAATTGTTTTATTATTTCATATTGATAGTTATTTCCCTACAGCTTCAAAGCAATGCATTAACGATTAAAAAAAACCCACTATATCAAGTAAAAGGGAATCCAGATAATTTAATTTGATATTAACCTCTGTGCATGTTACTAATTCATCATATATTGGCGAAACAAAATATTGGCTTACTAAGTAACTAGACTACTAGCTTGTCAATAAAACTGCTAAAAATGGGGCATAATCGCAATATGTCGATTATTAATTTCATCAGGAATTTGAAAAGAAAGAAAAAGAAAAAGCCAGTTTTATAATAATCTATGTTGATTAGTATAAAAGGCCTAAATGTGAACAGCCCCATAAGATTTCTGATTGAATAATGATGTGTAGTAATTTGGCGCTACTGTCACAGTCTTAATTTTGGTATCACAGGTTGAGGACACTGCAACAGACATAAAGCCGTATCGTTGTATCATCCACCCTTAGTGAAGTGTTTAAAAGAGAACACCCTCTGTGAAAATAAATGAAGAGGAAAAGTTAATTTTGCTCATCTTAAAATCCTAGTAAGAATGTTGAACTTTTATATATATATATATATATATATATATATATATATATATATATATATATATATATATATATATATATATATATATATATATATATATATATATATATATATATATATATATATATATAAATAATGAACGGCAATTGCTATTCAAAAAGAATTACCTTAGCTGGGCATGTAACATACTTATAAAATCTTCCAACAAAGCAACGCCACTAAACCTTCTGTTGACAAGAGTGACTTGTATCGAATTTCATGTCTTCTTATTTAGTGTTTACCCTTTAATGGTAAATCTTTTTAGAAAAAATGCTTTGAGCTATGTAGCTGGTATACCAGATTTGCTTAGGTGACTCCATTTAATTAGGAAAAAACAAAGGAATTGTAATACTTAAAACAAGTTTTCTTCTGTTCAGATTAGCAATTATTTTTGCATTCGGTTTCGTAGTTCGAAACTGCACGTACAAAATACATTTTAAACAGGTCTGAGTTTTTTCTAGTAGTTGATCCTAAAGTTGTGGATTCGAATCCATTGAGTGACGTGTAAAACGGTCCTTAAGACCGTATAAATCGAAGTCCCATGTTGCAGTAAGTACTGGCAACAAATTAAAAAGAAAATCATCATAGCTCAATGACCATAAGTGCAGAGTACAGGTCTAAATTTACAGCCTTACATTGGCAAACAAGTGAACAATTCTCGGAGGGGCGTAAAGCAAACCAATCCACAAATCATACTTTAACACTGAGTTTAATTATAAAAAGATATATGATATACATGTATAAAAAGATTATATCTCCTCAATCTGATTAAATTCAAATCTTTGATGATTCATTTTTCCAAATTTGATATACAAATACCATTAAACCTTGGGTCCAGCCCAAAATTTAACAGATTAGGCATAGCAAACGTTTGCTTGATTACGACTTCGGCTTAGGATGGCTAGACACTTCGATCCATTGTCACATTGCAATAGAAGTCTAAATTGGTATTTATTAGAATTTATCTCAACAGTTTTTTTTTAATTCAACATACTTTTAGATAAATTTTGATTCAAAGAACGAACATAAGGTGGCTCTAGAATTTAAACTAAATGAACCATAATGCATATGTTATATTTAAAGTTTAAACTTTATCAAGTTTAACTTATCATTTGACAAGTTTTATTTGCTACTGTGGAAACTTTTTACATTTTATATAACGAATGCAAAAAGTTGTTTACATTATGGAAAATTCGGTTATCTAGCTCTGAACAAACGATGAGCATGTCAATTTGAGTTGATAACGAAATTAAAATATCTAAGTATACAAACAAACGAATATCTGAAAACGAAATAATCAAACTAAGCATTTATGAATGACTGTCTCAATTTCAGGCTAAGAAGGAAGAACTTGTATTTAATTCTGTTGTGGTACATGTTTTATATGGAGCAACTAAAACAATTTTTATTGCAGGAATGTCAAGAATAACATTGCAAGGTGATATATTAATAGAAAGAGATGTATGTTAATTAATAAAAGTGTAAAAATAGATTGCAACGTAATCCAGTTATAAGATTTTTCACGCAACAAACAAAATTGAACCTTTTTGGGCATTTATATTCAAGATTTTGCAAAGTTGTGAGTTAAACGTTATGTAAAATGTATAAGATTAATTCATTAATAAAGCCTTAGGTATCTCAGTCGGTAGAGCGCTCGATCCGTGATCGGAAGGTCGTGTGTTCGAATCACGGTCGCGACTGATCTAAGTCGATAAAAAGTAGGTAGTGGCTGTTCCTTCACCAAGCACTCGGCACTTTGAAGTGAAAGTTGCGGGTCTTTCGGATGAAACCTTAAAAACCGAGGCCCCGTGTCACGGTAGGCGTTGGCACGATAGAGAACCCTCACTGCTCAATGACCCTGAGTGCCGAATAAAGGTCTAAATTTAAAGCCCGTCACCGGTATATGGTGACATCTCTATGCGAGTGAAAAATTCTCGAACGGGACGTAAAACAACAATCAATTAATCATTTATAAAGGAGAATGTGAAAGCTAGAAATGATTGAGGAAATACTGCAAAGAATTTTAAGATTTTTCTAGATTTTAATTTATTTTTTAAAGCTTTTAGCTCATGATAAAATTTTGAAGACATCGTCTTATTTCTTCACAGTTATAAAAGAATTGCAAAACATTTACGTGTATGCATTACATAATTCGATTTTGATGTTGTGGGAATAGAATGAATTAATCATGATTAATAAAAATAGAATTATATATTTTTTTATCCAAAATTCTGAAAAAAAATTAAAGAAATCGTAATAAAGGAAAAGGATCATGTTGTCTACTTACAATTATTTAGGATTTAATTATCAGTTTCCTATACACGATGTCCGTTTTTTACACATTTTTTAATAACCCTCCTCGAATAATAGAACGTCCTCTCCGATACGCGCCTTCGCACAAGTGAGGCGATGAGATTAGCAAGTTTTCTTTTCACGAGGCGACTAACAACGGCTAATTATTATTGATGTGCGAGATTTCAATGAGATGCACGTCTCAATCAGGGAATGATTTGTAAATCCACGAAGTTAGCCTTTCACAGAACAACACTGGTCTATTGATAATGTATATCATATTATTATATATGAAGGAAGGTGTGGTATATTAAAGTTAATTTGGGAGTGTGTCTTTGTTCATGTTTTAATGAAATTGTGTGAATGTGCGTGAAATATATCATATACATATGTTTGTGCACAGTTGAATGCATTATACAGCAGACAAAAACATTTGTACTTCATTTCTATTTCTAATACAATACAGTAATTTTTTTTTTTCTTTTTTAGAAATGTGGTAACGGTGGCCGAATCTAGTGAGGTATAAATTTCTAATATTGATAGTGAAGATTTACACAATAAAATTACTATAGATCCTTCAGATCGCGGGGATATTAAACTAGTTAGAAATGATTATATTCATCTGTCGACATGTCAGGCAGCTGTTGTAATACATACCGACCTGCAATAATTCTTACTTTCACTGAAGATAGACATAAGGATAGTTTATACACTGTGAATAATTTTCACACACCTATATAACACGTATGTGTCCATACAGATAATTTTTTGATTGATTTTTCCAAGAATTTTTTTATTACCCAATCTGTCGGGAAAAAAAATTCCAGAGATTGACGTTCGATATCATTCCGTTGAAAGCATTCGACAAGTGTCTGTGCATTTGGAGAGTTTCAAGTACGTTCATTTTGCAGAACTATCCGGAATCCACAGTGAAGAATTAATCTGCTTTAAAACAACATGCCAAGCACATTATACATACATCTCCAAAATATATACACCTTTGAAAAGACCAAAGGAACGGTGTAAAACGATGTTTTGAAATCATAATGGAGGTGCAAGTGCATGGCATGCTGTTTTAAAACAAAACACAGCTAAATATATATACATTGTTTTATGACCAAAAAATACACTGATTATATTTGCTACATACATGATTAATTTAAGTCATACATGTAAGTACATGTTTGTGATTTGAGGAAAACAAAAATTCAAACTGATTATTATAGGTAATGACTGACTGGAGATTTTAAAACGATTTATCAATATCCCAAGGGATTCAAACATACCCTAACCTTCTAAAATGCAATATATATATATATATATATATATATATATATATATATATATATATATATATATATATATATATATATATATATATATATATATATATATATATATATATATATATATATTAGGGATGTCAAATCGGTCAATTTTTGATAATCGGTTACTCGGACGTTTTTCCGATCGAGTACCCGGGTACTCGGTAAAAATGTAAATACAAGTTAGTTAATTTTTAATTGTTAATTTGTTGAACCCCAAAACTGTTTTATCACGTTTTATGAATGTATATAAACATGGGTTCCAACGGAAATGATTTTTGGTACTAAATTCATTTATTGAATAATCACAAATGACGCAATTAATACATAAAAAATTACAATTGGTTTACAGTTCTTGTTTAGGATTTATTTCATCAAGAGGAGGAAAATCTGTTACGCAGGTTTGTGATGACTAGACTAGCGAAAGAGAAGGAACGAACGTTGTTTGGATCGCTAGTCTAATATTTTTTCATATGTTGGCTGTTTCCCCCGTTTACACAAAACTTACTATGGAAACTGTCTTTAAACATTTTTTGGAATCTTTACTTATTTTGAAGTGGGTAGCGGCATTTCTATGCATGTCCGATTTCGCTGCCGTATACCGGGTATTAACTAAATAATTTAAAAATGATTTGAAGATAATAGACCATATTAAACGGTGTTCACTGAAAAACAGTCATTAAAGCCATCCAAAAATTAAGGACCACAATAGGTGAGAACGGCTGGGTGATTGGTCATTAATTACCGTATATACACAGCCATAGGCGATAACGGGTGTTTACATGTGTAGATGACTACACGCTAATTACCCGTATGCATATTTAAGTTATTTTTTGATAAGTTTTTGATAAAAATATGTATTATAAGAAGAAATACACATCCGAGTAACCGAGTACCATTTTCAGTATTCGATACTCGGACGTTCGATCGAGTACCCGGTTAACCGGGTAATCGTTGACATCCCTAATATATATATATATATAATCATTATGATCCTTGAAAAAATATTACACAGATATTGCTTAATTACACCTTCAATGAACAAACATATCATTTATACTAATAACACAGTAGAGATTTACAGAATATTAAACATGAACTGATGCAAGAAAACAAACAATCCCGAGATAAACGAAACATTAAATACAGGAATTAAAATAATGAATGCTGTATTTTTTTATTATTATTATTTATTAATGAGTAGCAGCTAGACCGGAAAAAAGCTCTCTAGGGAATTAAAGCTATTTGATACTTTAGACAATATTTAATTAACTCCTATATGATTGGCGAATGCAAACATACATAATGCAAACATTATATCATAGCTATTATAACAAAAGTATTTTGCAATCAGTCTAAAGATCATGAAATGAGAACAGACATAAGTCAGAATTTCAAAATTAGTATAATTTTTTTGAATATAATTTTGATAAAACAGAGCAAGATTTTCACCATGTGTTTGTAGTTGAATATAAATACACAAACGTGCAACTTTTTAAAAATATTGGTGAAATAAAAATTTCAAAATGAAAAAAAAATCTTAAGTTTTGACTTAAGTCTGATCTCACTTGATGGTCTTGGTACCAGATTCCTTCTGTCAATGCATGAAAACCGTTTAATTTTTTTCTTTTCATACCTGCCATAAAGTATTAATATACAGTGTTTGTCAAGTTCGCCGTTTCGACCTTCCATCTGTTCCCGAGTTTCCGCCGAAATAGAGTGATGTTATTCTCCAGTCTGTCGATAACAACACCATGAACACCAGCTGTTATTGCACACAGAGTATGAACAATACTTTTTCACGTCTCAATGAAGACTAGACCTGAGGAAAAAATTACACGCCATTATGAAAAGGTAAAAGAAATATGAATTTCAGAATCAGTTTAAGTTCTCTTCCTTATAAATCCAGTAGATGGTGCTGTATAGCTATGTTGCAAGTTTCATTCTGAAATCGTGAAAATGTACATTAGTCAAAATTTTCAACTTAGGGGTGAACAATTTAAAAAAAAAGCTTTTCTTCTGCATAACTTTGAAAAATGCACAAAGCATAAATTTATCTATAAAAAAAAGTATACACTGTGGAATTTCTCCGGCCTTGTTTTCTAAATGACTCATTATCTGCAATACCTCATTATTTTTATGCAAATAATTATTACTACCAAAGAGCTTTATGTTTTATTTGCGTGATTTAAATATAAACCTAAGTCAATTACAACTGAATGTGTAAAGAGTTGATATGCCTACCCATTACGGCGAACTTGACAAACACTTTAGTAATGTGTAAGTAATTTTTTTTTAAGAAAAAGGATTCATACATTGCAAATATACTATATTAAGTTATATTTACATCCACAGAATATTATTTCCTTTATTTCTTATAAAAACCATTGCCGTTAATCAGTCAGTAAACAACACTAAGCAAGCCACCTGCATAGATTTCTTAAGCAACTGCTGTTCCATCACTTATGCACAAAATGATATACACATCTATGATAAAATATTTAACACATTTAATTTACTTTGAATGTTTTTTAATAAAGATATAAATGTAAACAATAAAATATCTTTCCTTGTTTGTTAGTACGGGAATTAACATCGCACCTATTGCAGAAAAAAAATTACATAACCCGCTTACACGGGTTATGTATTTTTTCTGCAACAGCTGCGACATTAATTCCCGTACTATCAACCAAAGAAAGCATTTTATTAAGTAAAAGCTGCATGGAACAAAACCCGACCTATTCCTGTGAAAGTTTTCTTAATATTTGATCTGATCATATATTTAGGAAAGGTATTGTTGACTCAAAAGTTTTCTTTTTCTTCAGAAATCCATATCATCTGCAACATTGACAAATAATGTGTGGAATATTAAGATGTTGATAACTCCTGAACGATTATACATTCAAGTCAATAAGGGATCATAATTATATTCACTACGAAAATACGAAAAAAAAAACTTCTATGCCCACAACATTGCTGCAAATATTCTACTGGCGTGTTGCATGGATTAACAATTTTACGGTTGTGTAATTACAGACAGACAAGACAGTTCAATAGAAATGAACAGAGACAAAAAACAAGCTATATAAGACTGCTGAATTATAATTCAGATTTTGAATAAAAAATTAGGTATGACACTAAAATCACTAATAATGATAACAAGATGTGTTTGTGAAACACTGATGCCCCCGTATGGCAGCTCAAGGCCAATGTTAAAGTTTTTCAAATGAAGGTCAAACTCCAAGGTCAAGAGTTTAAAAATGTTGGTACCCAAAGAACGGTTTTGTCACAAAAAATATACATATGAAATATGAAAGCGCTAGGACCAACCATTCAGAAAATATGACGAAGGTTAAAAATTTTCAAAGGAAGGTCATACTTCAAAAGTCAAATGAGGTCAAAGGTCATGACGTCAAAAATATTGGTACCAAAGGAAAGGTCTTCTTAAAAGGAATACATGAGTGAAATATGAAAGCTATATATATTGACTGTTTTTCCAGACAGTATCTGACAATCATTACATTTTACAATCAGTAGAGATAAAACACCTCAATCCATAGAAGTACATTGATTACACGATATAAGACTGTAATAATTAAAAGCCTCAAGTTTATTATGATCATTATTTGCATTGCTTTTTGTCATAAATCATTTGAAATATATTAACAATTGTCACTTGCTAACGTGACTAATGGTACGGTGCATTAATCAATGCCCCATTCAAAATCAAATGTACATAATTTTTGTGCAAGGCATTGTCGACTTTTG